AGGTCCGAGGCTGGACACCACAAACCAGGAGGGAGGCCAAGGAAGACCCTGACCTGCCCAGACCCCGATTCGGCGTTTTTGCTCCAGAACTGGGAGGAAAGGAATCCCCTTCCCTCTGTATCAGAGCTCGATCCGACGAGCGCTCAGTTGGCAGACTGCTCCGGATGGCAGTGTGAGCCCCAGCGCCATCTTTGGGTCTCCATGGAGATTCAGCCTCCGGTAGATTTGTTTTCTGACTGACCGTGAACCAGCTCTTGACTAGCCTTGCCCGCAGGCAGCGTGTGTTTGCCAGCGAATTACCACCACTCCCCCAGGCCGGCCCGGGGTGGGGCTTGTCTGGGTGTGCCCCGCATGGACTGTGGCCCGCATGTTCATGAGTCATATCTTGACAGCCTTGGATGGAAGGCCTGATCCTGTCTTATAGGCCTTCCTGTCTGGGACCTTTCCCAGTCATGGTCCCACCCCCTCTCTGCGGCCCTGCCTGTAAGGCTTGTGTACTGAACTGCCACCATGCATGGAGGGGACTCTTGCTTTGTCCTCCTGTCCCATCTAAGTGGCCGGGTTTCTGGAAACCCTGGGACCCCATTATGGCTTTGTGCTGATGCCTCACCTCCACCGCCCACGTATCTCTATCTTGGTCCTGTTGAAGAGTTCCTCACACATGGTCTCCCACAAATGAAGATTTGAGATTTGGGGCCTCTTCTGGCCCCCACAACACCTCTCACGGGTTGTGGGTGCCAGATGCACGTGGGTCAGACGCACATGGGTCAGAACCACCCCTGAGCTTTCTGCCCTCCCCCCTACAGGTCCTGCTGTCAGCCTCCCTCACTCCAGGTCTCAGAGATCATCAGAGTCCCCAAAGCAGTCTCATTTGAGCTGCAGGTACTATAAAAAAAAAGCCAGCAGACTTAGACAAAAGAGCCGCCCCACTGCTTTAAACTGCCCACTGCCTGGGGTGCTCTGAGAGGGAGGCAAAGGAGGCAGTTCTGCTAGAAAGCGGGGTGGGGGGTGGGGGAGATGCTGAGGGGGACAGATCCTCCACCTGCTCACTGCCATCGATTCAGACTTGGAGCAGAGTGGAACTGCCGTGGTAGGTTTCCAAGGGGGGTTCTCTCTCTCTCTAATTGACCATTTTATTGGGTGGCTCTTGTTGGGGTTTCTTTGAGGGAGCTCCTCATCCTCCGACAAGTGGCCAGTGGGTCAAACTACCAACTTGGGGGTTCAAAGTTCAACCTAGAACCCACTATACTAGGGCGCCTGCTCCCATGATTCTCCGGGATGCCCTCTCCCTGGTTCAGTTCTGAGCCTGGGCTGTTGGGGAGCAGACCTCTCTGCACCTCCTCGTGGGGGCTCCCCAAGATGCACATGCTGTTTGTGTAGGCGTGCATGTATGGGCATATGTAGCATTGTGTGTAGGGTGCGTGTAAGGGTACACAAATCAACTGCTAGCTAGGCATCTCCTGGGAGAAGCCACGGGGCCAGCCCCACCACCGCTGCACATTGGAGGTGATGAGGGTAGCAGAGGCCCCTGCCAGGAGAGGCGGGCAGCAACTAGGAAGCGTGCAGAGACCACCACAGAGCTGGTGGAGGTGGGCAGCGCGCATGCCTCACCTGAGAGCCCCTTCGCCCCTGATGCATTACACAGGGCCCAGTAGTCAGGGGTGGGAGGGAGTCTTAGAGGAGGCTTCTGCCTAACCAGGTCCCCAACCTCTCAGCACCTCTGATTTGTGAAGAACCGTCTCGTCGGGTTGTTGTGACCCCTCATTAGCCACCAGGCGACCCCTCTCTTCTGCTCAGGGTCAGAGACGGATCCAAGAACAAGTTATGGTGACAGAACACCGTGGTGAGTGCCCAGAGAACCTATGTTCTTACCATGAGCAGGGACTGCGTATCCGTGCGTGGGACACCCGGACATGCTGGGCAATGCCAACAAAGAGGCCCTGTGGCTGTGACAGTTACACAATCTCTGGTCAACTTGAGCAAAGGGGTGCCAATCAGGTCATCGCCAATGAGGCCTCTGTGTGGGCGTGGCCTCCCCCTGTGGATTCTGCAAACTCCTGTCTTCCTCCCTGAAGGTGGGACACTCTTTCTCTCTGCCTTCCCTTTCCTGCTGTGGAGACACCCAGAGAGCTGGAGGAGACCACGGAGACCTGTGCTAGCATTGAGAGGCTTCCACCACCACTGGATCCACAAGACCTTCTACCCTCACGGGTCTGTGATCTTCCTGCATTCGGCATCACTGCATGAATCTAAAGAGGGATTTATGGACTGGTATCAGACATACGGGCTTATATTGGAATTATAGACTTGATCTGGACTGGGCTGGGAAGTTTTCTCAAGCTACCATTGCTCTTTGATAGAAAGCTCTTTCTTATGCACATGATTGTCTATGAATTTGTTTCCCTAGTCAACCTGGTCTAACACAGGGGCGGCACACTCACCTGCTCACTGCAAGGTGAGTGATGTGAGCCCACCCAGAAGCGTGCTGGGGTCAATCGCTCCTTCAGAGATGACAGCCTGGGACACCCACTGGCTCTACGCTGTCACATTGGGTCGCACCTAACCACGTGCTGAGAGTGTGACAAGCACAGTTGGGAAGGGGAGCTTGGTGAAACGCTAGCGCCGAAGTGACCTCTGTTGTTGGTCTTGCAAGACCACTTGGAGGCCGCACAAGAGGCCCGCTGACCTCCAGCCAGTGGTCCCACCTTCTCCCGAAATGGGCACTGACATCTGCTCTGAAGGCCCTCCACACCTGCGTGTTGGCGATGACTGTGAGCGGTCATCGAGGGGGAAGCAGATCTGTCTCGGAGGCCGGACAGCTGGAGCGTGCCTTAGATTCAAGGGTGGCAAGACTGGGTCTCACCTACTTTGGACCTGTGATCAGGGGAGCCAACTGGACCGACAGACAGCCAAGCAGAGAAAAGATGGAAGTGGTCGAGGGTTCTATTTTACTGGGATGCACAACCAGCACCCAGTGGAAGCCGCAGTCCAGCGATCCAACAACGTGCTGCGACGGGGCACGTCGGTGGTTGAAAGGATCTCATTCGCGCGTTAAGAAGCAAAGAGGTCATGTTGAGGATTCAGGTGGGCCTGACCCAAGCCATGTTCTTCTCAACTGTTTGTGATGCAAGGGGAGGTCAGAGAGGAACGGCTGCATTCCAAAGGAGACGTGATGCCTTTGAGTTGCGGGAGGACGCTGGCTGTGCCGTGGACTGTCTGCCAGGAGAAAGAAGGCCTTCGTCTCTGAAGAAGTGCAGTCAGAAGGAGCGGGGCAAGACTTATCTCACGGACGCTGGACACGTGCCCAGGAGAGACCAGGGCCTTTGTGCTCCGGAAAGCAGCGGGCCCACGAGAAAGAGGACAAGCGTCCAGGAGATGGATGGACACCGTGGCTGCAACCATGGGCTCTGATGAAGGAACAACAGCGAGGGTGGTACAGGGCCGGGCAGTTCCTTCTGGGGAGCATGGACAGGTTGGGGACAGGGTGGGAACTGACTCGATGGCACCTAACAATATCCCCGCCCCCCCACGTAATTCTAGAAGAGCCCGCCCAGCTCCACACCTCTCCCTACCCCAGGGACCGTGAGGCCGAGAAGCTGGAGGCTGACAGCACATGCTTAGTACAAGGGGTTTATTTCTCTTTGGGGTGAGGCTACATGGGTAGGAAGCAGAGGCCTGCACACCTGGCTCCATCGGGAGCCACCAAGGAGTTTTAGTTCCGTTTAAATGCATTGCAAACACCTCCTCTAGTTGCCTACGGCGCTTTGTTAAGAAGCATCCCCTGGGCGGGCGTCGCAGGACTCCCTGCCTGTGTGTGCTGTGGACAGACATAGGGCGTGCGACCAGGGTAAGGTGGGTGAGAGAGGCCGGAGGGGAACCTCGCTGCCAGTCTTGCCTGGAGGACAAAGCAGCCTCACTTTGCCTTGGTGTGGCCAGTTGGGGAGCGGGTTCCCTGCTGCAACCAAGTTGGCAGGAGGCGGGAAGCACCAAAGACCCTCCCCTGGGCAAGACGGGGCTGGGTGGGTGCAGTCAGGACCTGGGACACGGCGTGGTAGGGGAGGTAGGGTAGGAGTTTCCTGCTAGAACCCCTGGTGCCAAACGTGCTTGAAGACAAAGAGCAGGTGACAGGTGCTCTGGGCCTTGAAGCCAGACACTCCCCACCTCCCGTCCAGCCCGACTTCCACCTCCACCTCCGCCAGGAACTGGCCAAGGCCCGAGAGGCCTGCCAGGAACAGGGTGGTGGGAGGGAGGGGCTGCGTGTGCTGTGGGCATCGTTCTTTGGAAAATCGGCACACAGGTATGAGCTCATCCATGGCCGCCACCTTCCAGGTGAAAGAGGATGTTATGGGGTTGGGACGTTGCACGGACGTCCTATTACAACCTTCTAGCCAGCCTCGGTGGTGGGGCTGCGCTGCAGGGGAGGCGGGGGGAACATGTGGTACAGTGGGGGAGGGGGAAGTGGAGGAGGCTGTAGAGGAGGTGGGGGTGGAGGAGGTGGAGGAGCTGGAGGCGGGAGTGGTGGTGGAGGTAAAGGTGGGTGGTGGTGGTGGTGGAGGTGATAGTGGAGGAGGTGGAGGTGGTTAGTGGAGGTGGAGGTAGTAAACTGGGAGGAAGGGAGGGGGAGGGAGGGGACCGACCAGCCTCAACTGAGCAGTAGGAGTAGCCTGGGTCCTGCAGCCCGCTGCAGCCAACCGGGCAAGGTCAAGAGCCTGGGCCTGGGGTCTTTCCAACCCTTAGGGGGTGAATGCTTTTTAAAACGCGTGCTCCTTTCTTCAAAAAGAGGAAAGAAGGGTACATGGCCGGCCGTGAATGGGGTCAGCAGTTGGTGAACAATGGAGCGGAGAGAACAGAATTCTCCCATGAACTTTTGGAAACCCCCCCACCCTACCCCCACCCCCATCTTTGTGGCTGGACGCTGTCGGCCATCTTGGATGCTGACACACACCCACGTTTAACAACCCCCCCCCCAAAAAAAAAAAAAGAAAAGAAAAGTGTTAACGCTGTTTTCAGAGTGTCTGTTAATACCTGAGACCCCAGAGCATCATTTCCGGGATGGAGGGGAGCTGATAAAGTGGCAGAGGGCAGGTGAGACCCGCAGGTTGTCACCCCCACCCCAACCAGGGCTCATTATAGATGCCACCAGGCACCGGCTGGGTCCCCACAACCCTGGACCCAGCAGCCTCCTGCTGCAACTCCCCAACACCCGCTCCGGGACCAGAAGGGTCCAGCTGGCCCGGGGACTCTGATTTGGGCGGCGTCCAGTCTCGTTGCCAGTGACAGCACCTCTGGCTAGGTGGTCAGCAGGAAAGTGCCGCCCACTCAGGCCCCTGTGCTAACAGGAGGCGGGGTTCTGTCCATGGGGTCCACTTGGAGCTCCTTTGGCGCCCAGCCAGGCTGCTGGAGCGAGGTCCAGGTGGTTTGGAGACTGCACCTCTGGGAGGCCTGGCGCCTGGTGGCGGTGGACAGAAGCGGGCAGGCTGCCCGAGTCCTGCATCTCCGGCCTCCGAGGCTGCACTCAGCGCTCCCCTTCGCAGCGGAAGCCGCCCTCCAATCCTGGCTTGGATTTCTGTGAGGAGGCCGGAGGGGGTGTGCTTAGGCAGGAAACTCCGTCCTGTAGTGCCTCAGGTGCTCATCCGCCACGGACAGGTAGGTGGCCCTCATGCTGGGGGAGTACTGTGGGGAGAGAAGAGGCGCCAGTCAGCACAGAGGACCCGGTCGCAGGGCCGGACACACTGGACCCTGCAGTAAGATGCTTCTCTGAGAAGAGAGATCCAGGCCTGCCACCACGTCAGCCAGGTGCGAGTTCTAGTGTCAGTGCCCCGTGGGACTGGAGGTGGCCCTGCTTGGCGGGTCACTGAGGTGAGAGGCCAAGGCTGAGGAGGGGGGAGGTAGCCCTTGCCCCACTCTCAGCTCAGGCTGATCACACATCTCAGAGGCCAGGTGTCCTCTATGCCCAGGCCCAGGTCACCTTGCACTGGAACCTGGCTGCCCTGTGACCTTGACTGAGGTTCCTCCTACACCTGCACAAATGCCCTGGACAGCCCTCAGCAGGAAAGAGGCGGTGCCACAGAGCCCAGCCCACCACAGTGGAGCTTCAGAGGTAGGCAGGCCCCAGCCCAGGCGCACTTCCTAGAATTCACAAGACAATCGGAGTCGTTCCTAAACTCTCCAGGCTATTCCAAGAAGCAACTCCGGAACCCCAGACCAAACCCACTGCCATCGAGTCCATGCGGACTCCTAGCGGGCCCGATAGGGCAGGAAGAGGGGAGGGGACGATGATGATGGTGGCCCCTGTGAGTTTCGGAGGCTGTAACTCTTTATGGGAGAAGAGAGCCTTATCTTTCTCTCTTGCAACAGCTGGTGATTTTGAACTGCTGACCTTGCGGTTAGCAGCCCAACATGTAACCACTACTCTCCTAGGCTCCCAAGCAACCCTTAGGCACTCACCCTACCCAGGGTCTCTGAGACTGCAAATCTCGACAGGAGCCGGGACCCTCATCTTTCTCTTGAGAAGCGGCTGATGGGTTTGAATAGCCTGGTGCTTTGTTGCAAAAACCCGCCCATTTTCCATTGTCCGCATGCCCATCATCACCCAAAGCTGATGCTTCAGCCACGTCATCATAGGCTCTCCACTGGACGCTAGGACTGCGATGACCGAGACAGTAACTCTGAGCTAGGGTCCTAGGGGTGCACTGGGTGGCAAGTTAGGCTGTTAACCAAATGGATGGTGTTTCAAAGCCACCAGCTGCTCTTTGGGGGAAAGAGGAGGCTGTCTGTTCCCCTAGAGCAGCGGTTCTCAACCTGTGGGTTGAGACCCCTTTGGGGGGGGCGTTGAACGACCCTTTCACAGGGATCGTCCGATTCACAGCAAGAGCAAAATGACAGCGATGAAGTAGCAATGAAAATAATGGTATGGTTGGGGGGTCACCACCACGTGAGGAGCTGCGTGACGGTCGTGGCACAGTTGAGAACCACTGACCTGGACCGTCAGAGCCTCAGAAACCCACAGGGGCAGTTCTGCTCTCATCTGAGTCAGAATTGACTGGAACCAGTTAAAAACCCTCAGCCCCACCCAAAGAGCCTTCCAGGGGAGCAGACAGCTTCCCCCGGGTTCTGGGCGATGGCGGAGGAACCCTGGTGCCCCCGTGGTCAAGCGCTGGGCGGCTAACTGCAGGGTCTGCCATCCCAGAAAGTCAGAGTCCGCTGGAGGGCAGTGGGCTGGGTTTTCTGGACAAGGGCTTCTTCCAGGAAATTCCAATTCAGTGAGTCAGGTCTCAGAGAGGGACTGCCTTTGAACAATCTGGGTCTTTCTCTGTCCACAGTTTAGGAGACAGCCTGGAGGGGTGGGTGGGGTCTTGGGGGGAGATGCCCCGAGACTGCTCACGGAGGTCTAGCTCTGGAACCAGCCACCGCTGGACACCCCAGAGACGGAGCTGGGAGAAGGAGGTGCTGACTGACGACTTCCGGGTGGGCACGGTGCAGGCTGGGACGGGCAGGGCCGGTGGAGTGGTCCTTTCCTCCCTCTGGGCCTCCGAGGTAGCACCGGACGAGGTGGGCACAGCCTGTGGCCGTTGGGCGGGACTCCCCTGAGGCTGGTGGGACCTAGCAGCCAACTTTATCTAAGCAGGGAGTGTGTATGAAAAAACAAGAGAGAAAACAAAACTTGCTGCCAGTCCATCCCAACCGCATTTTAATGCTGGGAGGGAGGTTCATCCGGTCTTTGGACAAATATGGCCAGTTCTGTGTCGATGAGTGACAGGGGGAGGGGCCTGTCTGTATCCCAAACAGACAACCCCTCACTGCCACCGAGTTGATTCTGAGTAGCCCTGCCTCTGTGCGTTTCCGGGACTCTTAACTCTTTATGGGAATAGAAAGTCCCTGGCCTCAAGATTAGCAGCCCGGAGGGGAACCTCCAGGCCACGAGGACCCCCCAAACAGAGAGTAGTCCCCAAAGCACACTTGGCCCTCAGTTCCCCGGCTTCTGACTTCTGCTTGGTTGGGATGAAGGATCAACCAGTCTCATTCCCGGAGCAGCGTCAGCGCTGGCGGGAAGAGGTTCAACCTGTCCACCTTCCCTCCTGGGGGACCCCGGAGACCCCCGGAAAGGGAAAGGGTCAGTGCGCGTCCATGGCGCTATGCAAGGGGGCAGGCTGCTCTCTGGGTAGCCACACCCAGGTGGGAGGAGGCACGGGAGGCCTGGGCAGGGCCGGTTAGTCTGTATGGTGAGGGCTGGCCCCTACCCTCCGCATGCCACGGGGAATCCCTTGGCAAAATGTCCCAGACACTGTGAATGTCCCTTGGGGGGGCAAAATGGCCCCTGCTCTAAGGAGAAAAAAAAAAAAGCAAAAAACTCACTGGCAGGGTCAATTTGGAGGGTTCATGTTGACCCTGTGGGCCGGAGGAGAACCACCCCTGTGGGTTTCCGAGGTTGTAAATCTTCATGGCCAAAAAAAAAAAAAAAAAATATTCACGGAAGCGGCAAGCCTCATCTTTCCCCGGAGGAGAGGCTGGTGGTTTCGAACAGCTGACCTTGCGCTTAGCACCCCAACCAGCAGCCCACTAGTCCACCAGGGCTCTGAGGTATGGCTCTGACGTCACCTGCTCCTCAGGCCCATGAAGACTCGTCCCTCAAGGCCCCAGAGAGTCACATGGCAGCTTTCATCACCACCCCACACCCAGGTCAACGCCGGTTCTGAGAGAGAATGGCACCTGGGAAGCTGGTTCTGTGGGTGCCGGCAACGTGTGGGTCTCACTTGGTCTCCATCCAGCGTTGGCTGCCCCCCTCCCCACAAAGCCCCCCTCTGGATATGGCAGGTGAAAGGTGTCCCACCTGTAGTGCCTCGAGGGCGCCTTCCCTGAGAAACACCTGGCTCAGGCCTCTGCTGTCACCACCCTCGCAGACTTCCGGCCTTGTCTTCCGCCCCCTGCTCGCTTTCTGACAAATCCCACGTACACACCAAAACGTGCTGCCAGTCCGTCCCAACCGCGTTTTAATGCTCGGCCACCAGGCCCATTCCCACTGCACCGGCAGGGCCATCGGGCTGGCCCCCAGCATTTCCCAGGCCACGGCTGTTAGGGAGGCCGAGGCCGCATCGCCCTCAGGGGAGCAGCTGGGGATTCAAACAGGACTAGCCTTTTGTTAACTGCTTCACGGCTGCACCCTCATGGCACCTGGCCGCGCAAAGGAACAAAAAAGCCAGTCAAAAGCCATGGCCACATAGCACTTGTACAACACTGCTTGATGTACCCAACTTTGGAGCAATACGATATCCGTATTAGCTCCCAATACAATGGTTTTGGAAAAATCAAACAACACAAAACCCCTGCCGCAGTCAGTTCTGACTCACGGCAACCCTGTAAGGCTGCACGGACAGCTCCTTAGGGATTACAAAACTAACCTGCATGAGAACAGACAGCCTCGTCCTGCTCCCAGGAGCAGCTGGTGGGCTTGAACCGCTGACCTTGCGGTTGGAAGCCCAAAGTTTAACCCAGGGCACCCCTGGGACTCCTGGCCACCCTAAAAAGTCCGTGTTATTACCATCCCCATGCACAGGTGGGGACACGGAGGCAGGGAGCGGGGAAGTGCCAGAAATCATACAGGACAAGTTGGCATTTGGCCTTAGAGGCTGACTGTCTGTCCCTTGCCTCTGCCTAGCTCTGTACCAGTCGGGATTCCTGGGACCCTTAGCTCCACCCCCACCCCCCCCACCCTTCTCAACTTGGCCACTCTCTACCCTAGGCTCCTGCCCACAGCACACTTCTAGGGGGCCCTGGCTGGAGGTGGGGGTTGAGCAGCAGGCCTGGACCCAGGCACTTGAGAGCCGGGTGAGCCCGCCCCGCAGCCCGTGGGGTGCAGATCTAAAAGGAAACCATTCTCCCTGGCCCTCCCTTCCCGTCTCTACAGGCAGCTCGCAACTACGTTATGTCTCCGCCCCTGCGAGGTGTGTGTCTGCCCTTTCAGAGGCTGTCAGTCCCTGGTGAAGACCCAGGCAGGCCTGTTATCTCCATCCCGAGGCATGAGCATCAAAGAAGACAGGGGCGTGTAGGTTAGGCGCAGGCTCCCAGGTGTGTGACCTGCTTATGAGAGAGACACGAGAAGGCACACATTCCCTCTGCATCGGGGAATCAGCCAGCACCCGAATTACCAGGGGACTCCACCAAAACCCAGGCCCCACCATGCTTCAGGCTCACAGTGACCCTCTAGGTCAGCGGTTCTCAACCTTCCTCATGCCGCCACCCTTTCACACGGTTCCTCATGTTGTGGTGACCCCCCAACCATAACATTATGTTCCTTACTAATTCACTGTCATTTTGCTACTGTGATGAACGGGGAAGCCCCTGTGGAAGCTTTGGGGTCGCAACCCACAGGTTGAGAACCACTGCTCTAGGTCAAGAGCAGATCTGCCCTCTGGGTTCCGGACCTTGTCAATCTTTGTGGGTGGGAAAGCCTCATCTTCCTCTCTCGGACCAGCTGGTGGAAAGGCCCATAGAGTCACAGTCTCGGAACCCCCAGGGGCAGTTCTGTCCTGTCCTCTCGGGTCACTGTGAGTCGGCATCCACTCCATGGCAGGGAGCCGGTATGGATCTATGGCAAAAGAATCCCCGGCCTGTGCGCGTGGGGATGTGTCCGGCTACGAACAAGAAGGTGAGAACACACCCAGAGGCACCAGGAAGAGAGGCCTG